CGTTTCCTGCCCACTTCCAGGATTACTGTTGGTGGAGAGATATGTATGACACTGGCAGGATGTGTTGGATACGTTGCATCTGTGTTGGTATTGATCCTGTTAACTGACAGTTGAGTGGAAGCGGTGTTTCATCACCCAAACTTTTGGCCATATTTTTTAATAGCCGACTCTCTACTTTCAGCTTTCATGTTTTACAAAGTGCTTTGGCATTTTATTGTAGATCTTGTGCCGCATGCGCTTCTCGACACAAACCCTCTCCATGTTTTACCAAAGCTTTCTACGTGCCGAGAATTCATCTGCTCTATTACATTACGAATATTTGTACTTTACGATGCATTTTGGTTTCACGTTGATATTTTCACAAAACTGTTCCTTAAACAAATCTTAAAATAGTCTCACAACAGTGAGAATCCTTTAGGCCGGTGAGTCCCAACCTCTGGCCCGCAGCACACTAGTGTGCCAGTTCATTATTTATTTATTGCAAATATTTTTTGTTTGTTCATCAATGGGTGACAGGCAGAGCAGTTAAATACTCTTTTCCTAGGTGGCAGCAGATAGCTATAAAACTAAAAAAAAAAAAATTCTTTCTTCAATTCCTGCCACTATATCAGCGCTGTCTTCATCTAAACAGACTGAGATATTAGTCAATTTTGAGGTCATTTAAACTAGAAGATAAATGTATTTCTTAACAAATACTTTTTAAGAGATTTGTTTGGTGGTGTGCTGTGGCTTCATTGCTGCCAACTAACTCCAGCTCGACTGATCAAACTAGAAAAACAATGAATATTTCTGCCCCCCAAATTCAGTTAGTCAGTTACTCTAAGCTTGGTGTTACTCCCTCCAAACCCAGCCTGTACCCCTCCTCTCATTAGTCCGCCTTGATATCCCTCTGCTGTCCCTGCACTGCTGTGTTCAGCTGACGTGAGTCATTTCACACAATTTTCAAGGACCAGGATGGTAGGGGCCCAAAGAAGATGAGGGTAAAACACCCACGAGAGACGCACGACATCAAGGCAGGAGAGGAGTAGGCAGTGGAATGAAGATGACGGCACGTAGCAGGGTGAATGGGTTGGCAGTTGGAAGGAGGGCAGGATTCACCATGCCAGCTCTTAATTACTCTAATTGGAACCATTAGCTAAGTGAGCATGAGAGACATCACCTGCACAGCAGGTAGGACAGCACCTGGTGCATTAACAGAGTTAGCACCATGACACTCCAGTGGAGGGGTCTCTGACAGCTCAACACTAAAACTGTCAGTGTGGGGCAACAGTCGCTGCACACAAATATCGTTACACATTTATTTGTATTCCGCAGCCAGATGGTCACAGCCATTAAAACACAGACGGAAATCATGTACATTGTACAAAAGGTGTGGAGCAGTCAGCAGAGAGAGAGCTTAAAAGGAAATCAGTTAGAGTTTGACGTCCACGCATTTGTTTTACTTCATCTGTAGTGCAGCCATGTTGTCTGCACCCTGCGCTGACGTGTCGTCGTTAGCTTAAGCACCAGTGTTGGCAGATGACCACGGTCCTCTTAGAGCAAAGAGCTTCAAGTCACTGATAGCATTTAAGAATTACCAATGTGATCGAGTTCAGAACAGACACGGAAACACAGTAGTACACGTCCAAAGTATTTATTAAAACAAACACCGGGGTGATGGGTTAGGTTTGGGGAACAAGGAAGTAGACAGAACCCAACTGAAGCATCAGAGGAGCAGGAGGAAGGAGTTTATTTAACAGATGAAAAAAAAACCTTAAATGTATCCACTTACTGGAGGAGGCAGGAACAACCTGGACCACTGACAGGCAAACACTGAACAATGAACTGACAAGGACAGAGTGGGGGACAGGGGTATATATACCCAGGACACCAGGTGGCACCAGTGAGACTGATGACAGAGACACAGGTGAGTGTGGAGACACTGATTCCAGCAGCAGACACAGACCTGAGGGACTGTTACAGACTGACCCTCAGAGGGATCATACAGAGGTCATTCTGTGACTCAAACAGAGTCCGAGGACCAAGATTTATGATCATCCAATTAGGTGGTAGATCATTTAGATTACTCTAAGAATCGCAATTCCAAAAAAACCTAAACGCAACAAGCGTTTCTTACAAAGGAAGATCGTTCAATCACACTGAAATGACCAGAACACACACATATTTACATAGTCGATATTTATTCATGAAGTAAAATGTCAGATTTTAATTTGAAATTTTAAAAAGGAACTGTTTATGTACAAGTCCCACTTTCAATTCAAAACCACCATCACATATTTCTTTTATCTCTCACTCCTCCTAGTGGCAGCTCGTGCACCTCTAAAGGTAAAGGTTTTATTTTCAGCAGTGAAGTATTGAAGTAATGATATTGTTTGTTTCTTGGACTCAGGGTACTAAATGTGGCAGCAGCAAAGGCAGTAAAATACAAGTTTGAGCCGAGCAGGAAACAGAAAAAGATTGAAGTTTAGGTTTGTGGTCTGGACATCTCCTCCGTCTACAGTGTCTATCAGACAGTCTGGCAGGTGGACAGGCAGTCTGGCAGAGGGGCAGTAGTTTGACAGGTTTAGCCGGGGGCACCGTCTCCGACAGAGCCAGCTCTTACCAGCTGCTCCACACTAATGCCACGCACTGAGAGAATCCTTTTTCCTGCAGCCCCACATGTACTGGTGGAGTTCAGGTGAGAATCTCTGTCTGGCCCATCACCTCAGAGTGATGCTTGTGTTGTAGCTTAGCATTGCTTGATTGATCAAGACATCAAATATAAGAATATATGATATTCATATATTCTAAGTTTTGTGAAACATAAGAGAGAGACTGAAGAAATACTTTTGAAAATTAAACAAAAAATGGGTGGTTTTACTGCAATACTGGCGAGATAGATTTCCAAAGAAAACTCAAACAATAGGCCACCAAATGTACATTCATGATTTCATTTTCCTCTGACACACCCTGACTGATGTGGTAGTTTGAAACTCTCCAACCGCTGACAGTTAAAAGGCCTCCATACACACACGGAGGAAGCAGGCAGCTCATTGTCTGTTTTAACGCGCTAACTAGGCCACTTAGCACCCTGTGATGCTGATCTGATCCCTGAGGCGTTGAACTTGGCACAGGGCCCTTCTCCCTTTTCTTTCTGCTCCTTCCTTTTCCCTCGCCATGGGAACCAGGCCATCCTTAATGACGCAGTAGTGCTCGGCCGGATCCCACAATGCAAAGCGGGCTTACATCTGTCTTGCTAAGTGGTGCATTCTCTTGTGCATCTTGTTTGCACAATCAACAACCGTGCCCTCCTACCACAGGGGGCATATTCTTTTTTAAATCCATTTCTCACAGGACGAGATAACTGGTCTGTTGTTACAGATACTACCTCATATATACACTATGTATACATACCTGTGTGTATGTGTATGTCTATCTGTATATATGTATATGTCCGTGTGTATTTATATTTATACAATATACATGTTTATATGTATGTATGTATGTATATTTATATATATATGCTTTTCTATCTACTGTATATATTTGTATATATGTATATATGTTTATAAGTATATTTATGTATGTATATGAATTTCACTGTACACCCCAGTACAATGACAAAGACTATTATATCATATATTTGTATAAATATGTTTATAAGTATTTATATATGTATATACATTTTGTTGTACACCCCAGTATAATGACAAATAAAGACTATTCTATTCTATATTTACATATATTTGTATATATGCACACATATATGCGTATAAATGTTTACAATTAAAAATGCATTTTGCACAGTTAAGCTTACAATGGGACAAGCCTTTTTCTCCCACCAACCTCTATAAAATATTGCCGTCAGCCAACGATGATAATCAAATGCTAATGGAATCCAAGGCGCCCACTGAACTGCTTAAGTGCAGTGAACGCTTTCACTATTTCCAAAAGCTCCCATGAATGCCAATGGCAATCCTAATAGTCATTTTGACTAGATGCCAAGGCAACGTAAACGGCCTCTTTCTTCACGCTCTTCTTGGAATCAATGTAAGGATGTGTGGGATGAGTTAAGTTCAACAGGCCCAGGTGCCAGTTTATAAATGAATAATGGTTTTTCTGGGGCCTCTAACTGAAAAAAAGCACATGCAAACATAATCACACACGGCCCTCGCTGAAGTGCATCTGCACTGAATGATGCTCAAATTCCCACAACTACTGTGAGAAGAGTCTGAGTGTGCAAATAAGTGGTTGTATTCATAATCCCTGGCTCCGTGCTGGAACAATTCTGTTTGCTTACCTCTAAACACTCACGCTCTGAGGTTATTTGCTCTCCAGTTGGGTTCTTTGAGAAGCAAGTAGTATGTGCAGAAAGGAGGCAAGGACTGAGGTTTTCATAAATATATAAAGGGTTGACACAGGAGGCTTGAATAAAAGAGTGGGAGGAAAAAACAGCAAATGCTCCTGGAGGTTTAACTGGAGGACTGCATGAAGACGGCACTGCACACATTTGAAAGATGCTGGCACGGAACTGATGAGCAACGCCAGGCTGAGGATTTTAAACCATTAGGACATTTAATGAATAATTCATAGAAAACAATGTTGGCTCTCAAATCAATCAAAACAAGTTGTTTTAGATATTTTTAAAAACCCAGTAAGTTTTCAGCGTTCAAACAAATAAAAGCGTGACCAAAACAGAGGCCATTTTGTCAACAAATAATGGTGGGTTTGGCCACCACAGTATTTCTGAACATCCCATTCAGACTCTTTGGAAATATACATAAACATACAGTGTGGCAGTACATAAAATACTTGAACAAAACTTTGTTTTGGCACTGATTTGACTAATACAGTGGTTCTCAAACTGTGGTATGTGTACCACCAGTGGTACACGGGGAAAATCCACATTTTCACATTTACATTTTCAGTTGAATAAATCTGAAACATACCATGCCCAATTAATACAACATTTAAACATAAACATTTTTCTAAACGTCTCTCCTGTGGTGGAAGCTAACAGTGAAGGCCTCTGCTGCTCTATTCTAATGTTTTCTCAGGTGGTACAGAGTAGAAAAAGTTTGAGAACCACTGGACTAATATATTACTGAAATGTGTTTATACATTTTTCATCAAATCAACTGTAAAAATGGTCCACAACTGTAAACAAAATCAACGGCCAACGTTTAGAGCAGCATGGGAGCTGTGGCTTCGACGCTTCTTTCCTCACTGCCTGTCTCACACTTGCACTCTTCAACCACCAGTAGGCGCTTCTCTCTGATCTGGGTTCCACAGTGCAGGGGAACAGTAACAGTGTGAGCTTTGGACGGAGCGCAGCGAGAGCAGGGAGCGCGGCGATGATAGGTTCCTAGCCCAGAGCCCAGAGCAGCAAAGTCTCCTTCAGATGGAACAAACAGAGAGCTGCACTGGCCAAAACAGAACTTGTTCTGGATTTTCACTGAGTCACATCCATCTGCTGTCACAAGCTGAAGATGAGACGAAGAAGAAGGGAAGGAATTAGACCGACTGTGTTTCGGTGATGTCATTACAGTGCTGTTTAATCTCTTCATCTGAAGTCAGTGGTTTAATATGGGCTTTTTGTGACAAACTGAATCTCATTGTTCAGAGATGCTAATCCTGTGTAAAAGCTATGCAAATATATATATATGTATGTGTGTGTGTGTGTGTGTGTGTGTAAATGTAAAAATATAACAATCTTCTATTTTAAATTTACTCACAATTCACTAAAATCTCAGCCTGTTTAGTTGAAGACAATGCTGATATACTGGCAGGAATTGAAGAAATTTTTTCAGTTGAAAAATCAATTGAAAAAAGTTTTTAGTTTTCATCGCCATTGGCTGCCACCTGGCGGTAGGGTATTTAATTGTTCTGCATGTCACACATTGACAAACAAAGAAAAATTCAAAGTTCAAATATGTTTTAGTCATTCGTACTCTTTAACATATGGTTTACCCGGTGGTCTGATCTTTATGGTCCATACGCAGTACATACGGTTATTAGTAATCCTTGACCGTACATCATGCTAACGGACCAAATAAAACTTTTTTTTTTTTTTACTGTACCTGAGTAAAAGCCACTGCAGTGCACGTCTGTTTGGTATCCTTCAGGCTGATTGGCACAGACATTGTCTTGTCTTCTTTTCCGATGGCTGTTTGCCACATCTGTCTGCCCTGTTTCTTCTTCTGCTCAAGTACCGTTGGACTTTTGTGATGCAGAGAGTTGAACGGACTCACAGCCGCCCTGGAGCCTGTGGCTGGACCGGGACGGCCCTGTGACAGGAAGGCAGGCAGCGGCACTCTGGACCTGATGGAAGGAGCTGTTTTAGGGGTCAGTCCTCTTCTGAAGAACCCAGACCGGGGAAAAGAGTGGTGGTCCAACTGGACCACCTTGACAAGTCCTCGTGAGAACTCATCTGGTCCACTGCCAGATGACTCTGAGTCATCGCTTGATATTTTCAAAATGTTCTTGTCAAAAAAGTGATGAGGAAATGTAAATGTGACCGCCGTCCAACTTGACAGAAGGAAAAGACAAATGAGGACAGCCATGGCTAACCCAAAGACTGGACGTTCAGGTTTAATCTACAAAAGTGAAGAAGAAGTTACTTGGTGGAATGGTTCAAGGTTCCAAAAGGCAACCTTGCTGTCAGTGCTTGGTCAGAGTGAAGGCTGGCGTCTTATATACTGTGTGTAGTTTCACTTCTCACCTGTGTTTCGACTCAGAGAAGGTGCCATAATTCCCACAGCCGACCGCAAACAGCAGCGAGCCTACACTTCAAGTCAGACGGAAAAACAAATTCCACTTCAAAGTTAAACTCAGGATCCTAAAACACATTATTGAACATGTTCACATTAAACCCACAGTTTTTTTTTATTTCAGGGTTGAATTTTCTTTCTGAATTAACACCAGTTATTAATTCTTTTAATGGGTAAAAAATATTTTCTACAGTTTACACCGTGTTTTTTTTTATTTTGATGTACAAATATTTATATCCTATATATGTTCCATATCTATTTCCTACAGTTTTTATGGCTTGTTTTGCCCTTTTGTTTTCAGTGTACGTGTCTTTGAGTAGCAAAAAAAAAAAACAGCAAATAAAAATGTAACCTTCAGGTTAGTAAAACCACTGACGACGGGTTATTATTATTAATTTAAAAGATGTTGTGTAGAATAATCTATTTCATAGTAAATTGTTCAAAACTCATCAGAAATACAAGAAAACAGCTGACATCTGTGGTTAAATATATAGCCTGTCTGTGCAAGTGTCTGTCAGAGTATCATTCGGCTGTTGACTATAATGGTTTTATACTGGTTGTGTCAACAGACCATCTCCCTCCCATCCATTCCCACGGACGTGTTCTCAGCCTGCAGACTTCAGTGTGCTCCGTCACCCGTGACCCCATCAAACAGCAGCTGTTAATGACCCGGGCTGGGACAGCACTGTAGTAGAAAGGCTGTTACATTTCTCATAGACACATGTATACTAGGTTTGGATGGTTTTCTCTTCCTCTTGTCTCGGTTTCACACTGGTTTGTTTGTTAGCTCTGAACACGGTGGCCATGCAGGAATCAGGGTTCCAATGATGACAGGAGCTTTAAACGACAGACAGAGCTCCTCTGATGTTCTTACACTGGACATTTGAACACAGGCTGCTGAGGCCTGTAACAATATTCAGGGGGAGTGGGACACTGGCTGTAAGTTAAACCTTCATCCAGCAGAGGGCGCAATTTACTGACTAGAGATTCCTCTAATCTTATGGTCCAACTAACACCGACGACAGTGCAGGCTGTCAGTGGGTCAAACACAGTTGGATGTTCTCATGATTCTTTCACATAGACCTGATTAAAACAACATTGCGTGCATCAAGTGAAATCTGATATTCATAATTATATTTTTTCATTTCATTTGCATATGTTTGGTCGTTTGTTATTTCCAGTTTCCTCCAGTTAGTTAGCTACATTCTTATTTACAACAAATGAAAACATAATTTCCTATTAAAGAACAAATGCCCAAATCAAAACAAATTAAAAAAATATATTTTGAGTGTATTTTGTTTCTTTTACCAAGACCTATTGAATCTGTGCAACTCTTTAAATCATTCTGTAGGGCAGTGGTTCTCAAACTTTATGTCCACTGTACCACCTGAGAAAACACTGATCTCTCTGAGTCCCACCATGATGACCAACATTAGAATACAGCAGCAGAGGCCTTCACTGTTAGCTTCCACCACAGGAGAGATGTTTAGAAATGTTTATGTTTAAATGTTGTATTAATTGTGCATGGTATGTTTCAAAGTTATTCAATTGAAAATATAAATGTGAAAATATAAATTTCCCCACGTACCACCATTGGTACGCATACCACAGTTTGAGAACCACTGCTGTAGAGAAGTCCACTTTCTTAAACCAGCAACTAAAATACAAATTTGTTAGTCTTTTAGTCGGAGTAACTATGAACACAAATAACTTTGCATGTTCTTAAACATAGGCTGAAACATTCAAGGCCAGAACCAAGATATTTGTTCTCTCTCCCTGGACTTTGGTTTGGTCTTTGAGTTTTCAACTGTGACAGCACTAACAAAGAGGTCAAATACAAGTGGGTTTGTACTATGGAAACAAAGGAAGGAGCCAGGAGAAGACCTCACAGGGACAGCTGGTAAACACCAGACAGTAACATCTTAGTTTCCGTCGGGTATTGAACCATCGACCTTCAGTCATAACTTTTTTCCATTCCATCATTTGAGATTAATAGTTAAAGGTTATATTGAGGGTAATTTATTGATACCTGGAGCCTTATCTTTGTAAATAACATAAATATTGCCTACAGTGTTGGCAATCCCTTAACTTATAATGTCATCAAGATGCATTTTATGGGAGGCAAAAGAACATTGTAATAAAGTGGCACTGTTCAAAGTCAAGCTTGCAAAATAAATATTAAAGTAATCAAGTGTGAAAAAGGACTTTTAATTTCAGTAATTGATAAGATAAATACAAATGACACATGAAGACTGGTGCGTTATGACACATGTAGGGTAGATCGTATCAGTCAGCACGTTGCACTTCCATAGCCCTTTTTTAAACATTGATACAGTAAATCCAAATGTAAATGTGTGGAGTCTGGGGTTGAATACGACAGACTGTCTGTGTCGCTGGAGTCATTGCTCTACGTGCCCATTTTTTGGAGTTCTCCGACTGTTCGAACCCACAGAAATAATAACTTTACACACTGACATGTGCTAACGATTATTTACTCTAAGATGATTCCGTTTTGTTGTGTTGTCCCAGAGTGGAGACGCTGTCTCAGGCCTTTCTGCCGATGTTATTGTAGAGAATCATTGATACCACCATAGCAGCGATCTGTAAAAGATACCAGCCCAGCATCAATGATGTGAACACATTTTCATGCACTGTTCCAGGTCGGGGTCTACACAAGCACCGACGGCAAATCAACATGACGTTGTCTAATAGCCAACAATCAACAAATCAAATGCCAAAAAGGTAACTTGGGGGCTCGGCACAGTAAATCCACTCATATATCCCTAATAATTTCAATCAATCGATCGATCAATAGATCACAGCAGATCATTTGCCCCCTCCTCCACCCTCCTCCACCCTCGCCCTGCAGTAAAAGTGGGTGTTACAGTTAGAGTCCAACCGAAAAAACCTGCACTGCATAGATTGTATATATATGTACTTTTGTGTACCTAAATATGCACCAGCTCTATAGAACTTTATATATGTGTCCAGTCAGTGAGTTGAACTATAAATAATGGGCAGTGTTGTGTTTTTGAAACGTGACAATTACATGAAGACAAAACCTTTGTATTAGCCACACATGATGGCGTCATGGATGATTGTGATTGGATTCAAAAGTGTAAATATGAAACACAAAGATACACACAGAACACCACTCCTTGTTACTGTATAATAACTAACACATCTGTGTAGTACTGATGTGAATGGCTTAGTGGGGTGAATTTACCTCAAGTGCAAGAATACCAAGAGCCACTGCTGCAATGATCACAGAATTCTCCTGAATAAATGCCAGCAGCATGTCGTAGCAGCCGTCGACGTCCTGAAATATATCAATCAACGGTTGTCAGAAATGCAAACTGATCGCTGCACATGAGCGTTCAATCATCAGCCATGACACTGTGACCACTAACAGCTGAGGTCAATGACACTGAGTATGTTTATACTTCATGGCACCAACAGTGGGAGAGTGGGGGACATAACATGATGATGTATTGACTTTCTTGATTAAAAATCAGGTTAGAATCCATTACCATGAATTTAAAAATAACAATGTGCCATTTATAATGTTAACAAAGGGCTCAGTTGAACCAATCAGAGGGTGACGTTAACTAATAATGAAACAAAACTACAGTTTGTCTCTTAAGAGACAAACATGGCTGTGCAAGACCAGTATTTCTTAGCCTTGGACCATAATGACCAGTGAGAATCATGGAGTCAGAATCATGGAGTCAACTCCAGAAAAAGGGTCGTTTTTGGCAGTTTGTTGTTTAGTGAATGATGATTAAAGATTGACCAGAAACAACTTACCGCCTTGTCTGCTTTCCGCTGATCACATAAAGTGCCGTTGAATGGGTCAAGACAACATGCAGCTGGATAATTTCCATTTTTATTGAACGGGGAATCAGTAAAGTCTGTGTAGTTAGTATATCCACAGCATTCAAACTGGAAAGAGATGGCAAACAACAGTTGGAGTGAAATAATAAATTCAACCTCAACATCCCTCAGATTCATTGATATTATTTAAAACATACGTTATTCTTAGATTAACAAAAGACATTTGAAATGATAGTGATGATGCCAGGTGACTAATGAAATATAGTTCTTAAGCTTGGAGCAGATCTGATCTCACTTGTTTTTAAATAAAAGCTAGTGTATGCCAACATCATGCATACAAGTGACCTCAAAAACAACAAAAACTGTAATGTACAATACCTGTTGCATGGTGCTGTCCCAGAGACTGGTGAAATCATTTTCCAGTCCATATTTGGTTTTAATGGCAGATTTGACTGTATCTCCCACCTGATCCAAGATGTCATCAGCCTGAAGACCACATTTGCAAAAATGTATCATTTATATTTACTCTTGACTCCTTTGTGTTGTTTTCTTTGAAATGCCTTTGAAATCCACTCACCAAACCACGGAAGACAAGCAGGACCACAGCTCCAGCAATCTCGATGATGAAGATAATCAACACGATACTGAAAAACTGAATGGAAGGAATGACAAGTTAAACGACATATAGGATTAGGGTGGTTTGTGACGTTAAATCAAATCAAGTAGCCTGATGACATGGATTTGCAACTCTACATAGTCTACCACTAGAATGCTGTTTGGGTGAGACAGATGACATGAAGAGGATTCACGCTGAGGGACTATCCCTGAAGGCAGCGCCACAGATATGGAGGCTAGCAATAAAAAGCTCGGAGTCCCAAGGGAAATTGAAGTGAACGTGGGAATGAACTAAATACCTGACTGGTCCTGACGACCCAGTGTCATCAGTACAGCTGGTACAGCTGGTGTGGAACATGAAAATGAACAAATTCCTCAGTTCTCGGAGAGTAGCTTGGAATTCTAAGTTACTGTGTAGAACCCTCAGGCCCCCAGGCCTTTGGTGAAGTGTACAGGTGTACAGTGGTCTGGGCGGGCTGTTACCAGAATCACTCACCGTCAGCAGCATACACCTGCTCTCTTTGATAGCTCCACAGCAGCCCAGGAAGCCAATGACCAACAGCACAGCACCCACAGCAATGAGCACGTAGCTGACACTGACCAGTTTACTCATTTGAGCTTCGGAATCTCCCACATCTCCTAATAAGCCCAGGAGAGAATCTATGTCCAGTTTTACCCATATTCCCATACCAAGGATGGCGGCACCTGCCAACTGTGAGCAGGAAACGGAAAAGAAGGAAAAGAGAATGGTTGGGTTAATGCATGGGAAGGGAAATCCCTAGAAATACTACTTCTGTCATATAAAATGTGTAGTTACAGTAGTAAGATACAAACTTCTATTCATGTTAATACAGTGCTGTTATTAACACTGCAGTTCAAACACAAATGTTTAAATAAAACATATTTTGCACA